GGGGGGAGTGGGGGGGCTGGGACTTTCCCCAGGAGATCACAGGAGGAACTTTTGCTGGAGGGTGGGGGGAACCAGTGAGGAGTTGCTACATCATGCCCCAATGAGCCGTGAGTAACTCCTCTGGTATTTCTTCCCCGCGCAGAACAGTCATCAGAGCCAGATCCTGCCCGGGGGAATCACTACATGGCAACGCCCAGCCCCATCCAAATTCCATTCCTGCTCCCAGCAGAGCTGACGTGAAGCAGAGCCATGATGGGACGGTTCCCTGGTACCCCCTGTCCCGTCTCACCTGCTGGGGCGCCATGAGGATGGCCATGGGCAGGGCTGGCAGAGCCTGCCGGGCTGCTGACCCACAAAAGCAGCCAGATGCAATGGGCTACTGGAAGACACAGGAGAGCAAAGCCTCATTGCAACTGCTGGTCCAAGGGGAGCAGAGGGTGGTCCCTTCCTTGCCTTGGACTGGGTAACTGGCCTCCATGCTTCCTCTGATTGAGAAGCAGGTGGCCATGACTTGAGACCCTTCCAAGAGCCTGGCTGGCACCATGCTGCAACCTAAGCTGCAGAGAGGTGCTCTGAGGCTTTCCTGAAGTTCAGCCCCAACATGTCATGCTTGGCACCAGCACCTGTGCAACCCCCCGAAAAAGAAAAAAAAAGAGTTTGGCCCTAACTGACCTGTTTGGCAAGGCAAAGTACCTACAGCAAGGCAGCAGCTGGTTTGGGAGAGGAGTCTGGGAGTCCTGTGCTCCCCCTGCGGGACCAGCTCCAGCCAACCACCCCCTGCCACAGCATGCTGGTGGCATTGTCCTTCATGATGAGGGGTGAGCCACCTACCCGGTGAAGAGGCTGTAGCCACCACTGTGCTGAGCTCGTTGAGTGACCAGACATGCCAGCAGCAGCCTAACTGTGCAGGAGTGCCCCTGCTGCCTGGGAGGACTGCAGCCTCCTTGCTCAGCCACAGCTGCACTAGTCATTGGTGCTCCACAGCTGGGTGCCCCTGGACATGGGGCTGCCATGCGCCTGTGGAAGGGCCAGCAGTGTCTGGAAATGGGTGGGATGGGGAGATAGAGAGCAGAGGGAGGGCTTGGGCTGAAAGCTGTGATGGAGCCAGGGCAGCCTCAAGGTCTGGGGTAGGAAATGCTCCCAGAGGAGGCTGGACAAAAAATTGGGAAGATAGGGGCTGAGCAAGCTGGGAGAAGAGTTTGGGGTGCACTGATCCTCTTAGGCAGAAGATCGGAGTGGAGGCAGGGTGGGCAGGCACTGGAGTGAGAGCAGGAGTGGGAGATGCACAAGAAAACAAGCTGATAGTGTCTCAGAAGGGGGTGATGTGGAGGTCCTCCAAAGCCCAAACCCCAATGGCTGAGATCCCCACAAAGCAGATGGGCACCAAGTCTCCCTGGGGAGCCTGTGGACTCAGAACGAATGTTGTAACTGTTATACCCCCTTGCTTGTGATGTGCTCCCTGCTGCAATGGCTCCAGGTAGGTTTGGACCCAAATATTCTTTACTCTCTCAGTCCTGCATGTGGTCCCCTGCCTCAGGAAACACCAGGGACATCCCAGGCTTCTCAGGGAGTGTGAGGGACACTGGTCCCTGGAACAGATCTGTGGCACCCACAACTTTCCTTTATCCCTTGACCAGAGATCTCTCACAGGGAGTGCTCAACCCTGGCTGCTGCACAAACAGGTGCCTTTTGTCTGTCCCCTAGCTGGAGCTGAAGAAGAGGAAGGTGGGTGCCAGAAACAGGGAGGGACACTGGGGTCCACCAGTATCCCCAGCTTGTTGTCTCCATGAGGCAGATGGAAGAGGCAAGAGGATGACTGGCTGTGACAGAGCAGG